GGCGTTCCACAAATCATAAATTTTGAGTGGCTTTCCTAAGTGAACATAAATATTTAAGGGATCGGAAATGTATATTTTCACCTTAAATTACGTTTTCAAAACCCCGTCGCAACCAAAAGAAGAATAATAGCAACTAAAATTATCAAAAAGTCAACAGACATTAAAGCGAAAAAGATAACTTTGGCTGCCTTTGCTTTTAGAAATTGCCATGTCTTTGTAAATTTGTTAGTATTTATGACGCTAAGGTATTAAAAAGAATCAACATTATCTATGATAAGAAGAGATCGGCATAATGACTGACAAAGTGAAATAGTCAATGTAGTACATTGTTTGAGTAGTTCATCGCAAGTGTATTTGGCCTGTTGAGGCCGTTTGTATATTAGTGACAGCCAGTTGAGCGTGATAGGGGTCCAATTGGACAAACAAATGGAAAAGAACGAGTACCGAATAGTCATCAAGTTTTTAACTTTAGAGAAAAGTATTCCATAAGGAATTCATGCCACAAGTGTATATGGATAAGTGCCCTAGCTATTCCACTTCGAAACGTTGGGCAGCCATGTTTATGGCCTTCATGATAACCCTAGGTCTGGACGTCCCTCAACTTCTATCAATAAAGATTCAATCAAGGAGATAGAAAAACTTATACTGTCAGACAGACGAATTACCATTGCTGAACTTGATGATAACACAGGTCTAAGTCATGGATCCACTGAAACTATTATTCATGAACATTTACAGATGAATAAGAAATCTGCTCGTTGGGTGCCAAATTTATAAATTCTGATCTTAAGGAAAAAAGAACTGACATTACCAGGGAAAATTCAGCTAATTGAGGAGGGATTCGCCAAATTCAAAAAGAGATTAGTAACGGATGATGAAACATGGGTCTACTACTATGAATCGGAGTCAAAACGTCAATCCATGGAATGGCACCATTCCACTTCCGCGGTACCAACGAAATTCACGTATTCAAGATCAGTAAAGAACGTTATGGCCACTGTATTCTAGGATGCAAAGGGTGTGATCCTTGTTGATTACTTAGAAAGTCAAAGGACGATTACCGGTGCCTACTATGCTGCTTCGCTTTGTCGCCTGGGAGATTCTATCAAAGAAAAGAGGCGAGGATTGCTGACTGCTGGAGTGCTACTACTTCATGACAATGCTTCTTCTCACACCACTCGATTTGCAAAGGCTGTTGTGCGACAATATGGGTTCGAAGAGCTTCCTAATCCCTCCAAACTCGCCAGACCTGGCACCAAGTGATTTCCATCTGTTTCTTGAACTAATTATAAAAGAGTACTTTCGTGGAAAGTACTATGACGACAATAATGACCTCAAAGCTGCTGTAATGGGGTTTTCCGGGTAGCTTCAGAAAAAAATCTTCCTGACTAGAATTGAAAAGTTTCACTATCGATATGAGATGTGTATTAAAAAGTAGGGAGATTATGTTGAAAAATAAAATTAAAAACACTTTCACAATTGTTGGTTTTGTTTGATAGATCTAGAACGTTTTGACCAGCCCTCGTATAACGGCAAACACAGACGGGTCGCGCGTTGTCATCATCGATGAGTCGATACCAGTTTTACTGGTACGTTGTATTTTTGTATACAGCATCCATCATGATTAACTGAACACTGTCACAGCAAAAAAAATGCAGTTTCCGGAATCCGGATACCTGCCGGATACCACCGGACACTTACCCAAAACGCGTCCGGGTATCCGGTGGCAGATACCTTGCCGGATACCAGATCTGTGGTATCCGGCATGGACACCTCACCGGAAAGTATGCCACCTGGAATCCGGGTATCCGGCACGGATACCACAGATCTGGTATCCGGCAAGGTATCTGCCACCGGATACCCGGACGCGTTTTGGGTAAGTGTCCGGTGGTATCCGGCAGGTATCCGGATACCGGAAACTGCATTTTTTTTGCTTTTTGTTTTGCTCCTCGCGGGGAACGAGGTCATCTGGCAAGAATATCGCTGCGGCTTTACACTTCAAACGAAACAACTCAAGTTTAGTTGCTTATGAAGCCCCGTGGCCGCTAACTTGAACGGACACCAATGCTTTGTTCATTATCTGATGATGATAATGTCTTTGATCTGATGATTAAACAACACAAACGAAGAGCCTTGATGGTTGGAGGTCTGGATGTTCAAAAGTATTTTTGTCATTTGGCTTCAGGATAAATATAGTATTGAACATATTAAGATTATTCTAGCCCAAGGTAAACACACAAATTGTAGGTCAGTGTCATTTGTATCGCGTTCTCGCATTGCGCCTGTTTTGAATATGTATAACAACAATTGGCAGAAAAACGCAAAAACGCGATATTGAACAAGTGCCTAGATCTCGTGTTCTCTAATTCTCATTTTTCCGTAATATATATAAACATATAGACAATTGTCACAAAACGTCGAGATGGCCACATAGGTCAATTATCGCGTTCTCGCATTCTCTCGCCTGTTTTGAATATTTAGATATTAATTTACACAGTTACCTAGGAACATGGTAGAAAAACTCAAGCTGTTTCAAGTGTCGCCTTCTCGCATTCTAATTCTCACCTTCTTAATATCTACATATAAATGTATGGTCTAAGTTTAATGGGACGATTTCAATATTCAAAGTTCGTAGAATGTAAGGTATTCAACAGGCAAATTACCTTATGTCGTAACATGAAACTGCGTGCTATCTCTGCGTTGCTCGTTCTACGAGGATTTCAAAAAGCGTCATCCGACTCTAGCTCAAAAGTTGTTTGATCAGAATTACAACGTTCAAGACCTCAGCAAAGCTTAAAAACATTATGGTAGACATGTGGAGGAAATTTTCCAATTTGGCACATCAGTGACCAAAATGATGTCCGATGCAATTCCTTATTTTGACTTGTACCATATGTTGTATTTGGTCAGATGATCGCTTGTATTTCCTTTGCATCTGTTTGTGGCAGGTGTCACATGTTAGGCAGGATACGCTCACCTTTTCGCGAACACCTGATATCATCACTGTTTGATAATCATTCATGGTCACGATATATAGTTACATGATATGATACAGTCATGATATAGCTACATATGATACGGATCCGTGAAGATCCAGGTCTTCAGCAACCCATGCTTGCCGTAACAGGCGACTATGCTTGTCGTAAGAGACGACTAAAGGGATCGGGTGGTTAGGCTCGCTGATTTGGATGATGCAGGTCATCGTATCCCAACTGCGTAGATCGATGCTCATGATATCAATCACTGGATTGTCTGGTCCAGACCCGATTATTTAGAGGCCGCCGTCATATACCTGGAATATTGCTGAATGTGGCGTTAAACAACAAACAAACAAAACAAAAAATCATAATGGGAGTTCCTGTGGAAGTGCGAATAATCACAAACCCGGCCGAGTTGTCGCGTGGGAGTTCGTCACCCGAGGCGTTACTCACCTGTTACGGCAAGCATGGGTTGCTGAAGACCCATTCTATCTCGGATCGTCACGGGCCCCACTATGAACAACTGGTTGATCGATCATAGATGACTTATTCATCATGCGTGCACAGGGGCGGTCGGGTAGCCTAGTGGTTAAAGCGTTCGCTCGTCACGCCGAAGACCCGGGTTCGAATCCCGACATGGGTACAATGTGTGAAGCCCATTTCTGGTGTCCCCCGCCGTGATATTGCTGGAATATTGCTAAAAGCGGCGTAAAACCATATTCACTCACTCACTCATGCGTGCACCATCCTCTACATCTCCTGAGAAATTCAACATGGTCAAATACTTGCTCATGTTCACAAACACTTGTTCGTTATTTCTTCTAAACATACTGATATAAGTTCAAGAGGTGCCGGCGCTGATAAGAACAAAAACATATTCTCCTCAATATAAACTGGTTAACGGAAACACGGATCTCATGCGGACAAACCTACAAACATAATAGTGAGTGACACATTGTACCCATGTCGGGAATCGAACCCGGGTCTTCGGCGTAACAAGTGAACGCTTTAACCGCTTGGCTACCCGACCGCCCCCAAACATAATAAGGGCGAAGCTGAATTCGGACCCACCATCTTAGGTTTCTGGGACGCATAAGGGACGCAACTCTGCACGGGAAACCATGGAGATGATGATTATGCATATTACAACATTATGACAATAATACACTTACATGTGCCGTAATCATTCATCAAAGAACATAATTTCAGTCTAAAGTGTTCTTTATTATACAAGTTAATAATCTACGGTACACCGTCTACAACATAAACTGCCTGGCAAAGAAAGGATACACCATGTTTCACGGTAGCTGGAACTGACACAAGGATGGTTATTCGATGGTGATGTGTTGCAGTGTTTCGGCGAGTACTTTCAGCCTAGTAACGTTTAGATAACGTTTGTCATTATTTGGTTCCCCCCTAAGAATGTATCATAAGACCACATCATTTAAAGCTTGTTATTCCTACCCTAGTTTTTAGTCGTAGACTATTTGTGAATTTTAATTGATGGCTAAAATTGACTACACGCACCAGCAGCTGAAGCGAAGGTGTAAATCCTGCTGGGGAACCGTGCAGGTAGTAGAAGTATTGTAAGTCCCCACGGTCCCTGGTGTGGTGGCCTAACTTTGGTGATCTACAGCCCGTTTTTATAATGTGTCGTCTGTTGTAATCTCATCATTGTATTGTTCTAAAACTAGTTTTATAATTATAGTCTGTGATATATTGCTAGTTGTGATACTGTCCTTCGACGACATTTTTTTAATACTTTTTTTATATATATAATATAAATGTATGACTTGCCCAAGTCACGATATGGCTGAAATATTGCCGATGTGACTTTAAATAATAACTCACTCACTCATTATTTGGTCAAATCCAAGTTTCAAAAGTATACTTTATTGTGCCCGGCAGTATATATCAAGTACATCCTGTCAGATAACAAAATAAATAATTTCATTTAACCAGGTAATATTTGTAATAATATTTGTCATTTAATGACCCCATAGACCAAAAGAAATGTGATAATACCGAAAAACTCTGTTTATTCCTGTGGCTGGTAAAATGTCCATGGTGATTATCCACATGGGCCTGAAGCCACAATCTATGTGGACGACCTATCGGAACTGGAAGAATTTCATCACTGATGCAAAGAACAGATGGCATAGTCTGTAGCGCCTCTCAGAGCCACGAAATGACTGCCGTTGGAATCGTGTGGGTGTGTGCTGTCGCCACTCGCTCCACGCATCACATGCTGGAGAAGAAAAATGTCATGATCACCACTGATATTATGAAGTCGATGTCAGAGGGGAAGCACTGATGAGTCACGTTGAACAACACACCAAGCATCAAAACATCTGACATATTTTATACTCACACGCAACAGAAACGCAAGTGGTTTTAAGCAAATAGGTAACAAACACGGAACCATAAATTGATACGAGTTTTAGCATGTAGTGAAGCCTGATGGTATTATCAATATTTTTGGTTGCATTTTGGAAGCCCCGAGTAAAGACGCAACATATAAAACGAATCGCCAAAACGCACCATTTCAATGAATAGGTGTGTATCATGCACAAATTTCACGAACTGTAGTGGGTATAAAACTGTGGCCGATTCTTGGACCTACCACTCCTTGGTCAACAATGCCACGCCTAACTCAAATTCAGAGAAACCAGGCTATCGGACGTTTAGAAGCTGGAGAGTCTGTCCAAGATGTTGCCCGTCATTTCAACGTTAACATAACCACAATGTACCGTCTCCTGCATCGATACAATGCTACACAGACCACAGATAACCTTCCTCGGTCGTCCTAGGGTCACCACACCTCGACAAGATCGGCAGATTACCCGTCAACATCAACGACATCCGTTCCTAACTGCAAGTGAAAGTGCTCAACAGACCATAGGAACACATAATCGACACATTAGCCGGGACACTGTGATCCGACGTCTCCGTTCCAACAACCTCAGATGTCGCCGACCAGCACGTCGTCCTGTTCTCCAACCACGGCATCGACAAGCACGACTTTAGTGGGCACAGGGTCAGCACAATTGGCGTCATCGTGAGTGGATGCGCGTCATCCTCTCTGATGAACGTCGCTTTTTGTCTCCCATGCAGACGGAAGAGTCAGAAATTGGCGGCGTCGAGGTGATCGTTTCGCTGACAGAAAGGTTGTGGAAAGGGATCCATGGGGTGGACCTAGCGTCATGATGTGGGCAGGGATTGGACTTAATGCGAGACTTGGACCCATGTGCTTTCTGAATGTTGGTGCGCCCAGTCCCTACAACTGCCGATGAACTACGCACAGCTGTTCTGGATGTGTGCAGGAGGATCCCGAGGGCCTTCACAAATCGTCTGATCCACTCAATGTACAGGAGATGTGTGGCAGTGATCAATGCTAATGGTGATCACACCAGGTATTGACTGACATTTTGGGTATTGACCCAAAACTGTGTAAGCCCTTAACATTCGAATAAAACAACTATGTCTTCAGTCAAATTTTTGTCAATCTTGTCCTATTAGTGTTTCTTGTCTTTACTGTTGAAAATAAATAACATGTATACTGCATACTCGACTTGCGTTTCTTTTGCGTGTGAGTATATATTGTACTTTTGAAAATTTCTGAAACAAATGGGAAAACAGGTTTTTGGAAAAGGTGGAATGTGTTTTGTGATTTGACACCGATAACCTGTTAATCTTCCTGGATGTTTAATGCTTATTAGAAGCTTAAGACAGCTATCCAACTGCAATCTTCATGCTCTCATGCTGTATCCCTACTCGTCACTATCCCAAACCCACCCGACCTCCTCCACCCCACACTACCCTTACCTACCCCACCAACACTACAATTACCTACCCCACCCCAGCCCATACTACCCTTACCTACCACACCCAACACTACTCTAACCTACCCCACCCCAGCCCATACTACCCTTACCTACCCAACCCAACACTACTCTTACCTCCTCCACCACACACTACCCTTACCTACCCCACCCAACACTTCAATTACCCACCCACCCGACACTACCCTTACCAACCCCACCCCACACTTCACTTACCAACCCCACCGCACAATTCCCTTACCTACCCCACCCCAGCCAGTACCACCCTTACCTACCCCACTCCAAACTACCCTTACCTAACCCACCTAAAACTACCCGACCCAAACCCACCCCACACTACCCTAACCTACCACACCCCACGTGTGCACACTATCCTAAAGTAACCCACCCAACACTACTCTTACCTACCCCAACCCATCCAACACTACCCTTACCTAACCCATCCCACACTACCATTACATAACCCATCCCGCACTACCCTTACCTACCCCCCACTATCCTTACCTACCCACCCTACACTACCTTTACCTACCCCACCCTGCACTATCATTACCTACCCCACACTACCCTTACCTACCCCACCCCACACTACTCTTACCTACCCCACACTACCCTTCCCTGCCCTACCCTACTCTACCCTAACCTACCCCAATCCACACTTACCTTAGCTACCCATCCTAAAATACCTTTATCCGTCCCATCCCACACTACCCTTCCCTACCCTACCCCACACTACCCTTACTTACCACACCCTTCACACTACTTTTACCTACCCCCACACTACCCTTCCCTACACTACCCTAAACTACCCCAATCCACAATACCCTTACCTAACCCACCGCACACTACTCTTACCTACCCTACACTACCCTAAACTACCCCAACCCACACTACTCTTACCTACCTCACAGTACCCTAACCTTCCCCACAACACACTACCCTTACCTACCCCACCCCACACTACCATTACCTTCCCTACAACACACTACCCTTACATACCCCGCCCAACTATACCCTTACACACCCCACCCCACACTACCCTAAACTAACCCACCCCACACTACCCTTACCTAACCCAAACCACACTACCTTTACCTACCCAACCCTACACTACCCTAACCTAACCCATCCCATGCCACCCTTACCCAACTCGAACTATCCTTACCTACCCCGCCCAGCACTACCCTTACCTACCCTTACATACCCCAACCCACACTACCCTTACATACCCCAACCCACACTACCCTTACCTACCCCACCCCACACTACCCTTACCTACCTCACCCCACACTACCCTTACATACCCCACCCCACACTACCCTTACATACCCCAACCCACACTACCCATACCTACTCCACACTACCCTTGCTACACCACCCCACACTACCCTTACATACCCCAACCTAACCTTCTCTACTCCACACTACCCATACTTACTCCACCCCACACTACCCTTACATACCCCAACCTACCCTTACATACCCCAACCTACCCTTCTCTACTCCACACTACCCTTACCCACCTCGCACTACCCTTACCTACCCCGCCCAGCACTACCCTTACCTACCCTTACATACCCCAACCTACCCTTACATACCCAAACCTACCCTTCTCTACTCAACACTACTCTTACCTACCCAACACTACCCTTACCTGCCCTAACCCACTCTACCCTAACCTACCCCAATCCACACTTACCTTAGCTACCCATCCTAAAATACCTTTATCCGTCCCATCCCACACTACCCTTCCCTACCCTACCCCACACTACCCTTACTTACCACACCCTTCACACTACTTTAACCTACCCCACACTACCCTTCCCTACACAACCCTACACTACCCTAAACTACCCCAACCCACAATACCCTTACCTAACCCACCCCATGCCACCCTTACCCACCTCGCACTATCCTTACCTACTCAACCCTACACTTCTCTATCCCACACTACCCTTACATACTCCACGATACCCTTACCTATCCCCATACTACCCTTATCTACCCCACACTACCCTTACCAACCCCATCCTATCCTTACATACCCCACGATGCCCTTACCTACCCCATACTACCCTTACCTACTCCACACTACCCTTACCTACCCCACCCCTTACTACCCTAACCAACCCAACCCCACACTCCCTTACCCACCCCACACTACCCTTACCTAACCCACTCCCTTGCAGACTCTTCGCTAGTGCATCCCACCCAAACGCTCCTTCCTACCGCTCAAACCCACCGCTGCACTCACGTTTGCAGTAGCCATCACAAGCTGCACTCCTCGTTTGCATGTCTGGGCCCCAAGACTGACAGCTCCTGGTGCGGGTATCGACTCGGACGCCTTGGCAATTAATCGGATCATGACATTCATCCGCAACCACCCAGTTGCTCCACTCACAACCCGATGTTTCCCCGGGCCCTGAAGCAGCATGTCAACAGCATTAAACATATACACATGTATACTCAACCAAATAGGATTCTAACAGGTACAACGGTCCCCAGATCACACGACAACACTTTCAATAGATTATATATATTCGTTATGTTGCGGGCTAAGTGAGATCACTCTCCCCACTGGGTATACCTTACCATAGGTACACGCATCATGAGTTATGATTAGGTACATGCAACATGGGTCATGATTATGCATTATGCAATATGGGTTATGATTAGGTACATACAACATTGGTTATGATTAGCTACATGCAACATGGGTTATGATTAGGTACATACAACATGGGTTATGATTAGGTACATACAACATGGGTTATGATTAGGTACATGCAACATGGGTTATGATTAGGTACATACAACATGGGTTATGATTAGGTACATACAACATGGGTTATGATTAGGTACATACAACATGGGTTATGATTAGGTACATGCAACATGGGTTATGATTAGGTACATACAACATGGGTTATGATTAGGTACATACAACATGGGTTATGATTAGGTACATACAACATGGGTTATGATTAGGTACATACAACATGGGTTATGATTAGGTACATGCAACATGGGTTATGATTAGGTACATACAACATGGGTTATGATTAGGTACATACAGCATGGGTTATGATAAGGTACATACAACATGGGTTATGATAAGGTACATACAACATGGGTTATGATTAGGTACATACAACATGAGCTATGATTAGGTACATACAACATGAGCTATGAGTAGGTACATACAACATGTGTATGATTAGATACACACAGTGTGCGTATGATTAGGTAAACACAACATGCGTTATAATTAAGTTCATACAACATGCGTAATGATTAGGTACACGCAACGTGTGCATGATTAGTTACATACAACATTTGTCTGATTAGGAACATACAACATGCGTTATGATGAGGTACATTCAACGTGTTTCATGATTAGGTACATACAACGTGCTGAGTGATTAGGTACACACAACGTGCTTTATGATTTGGGACATATACAAAATATCTTGCAAAGAACAATGAAGAACGAAGCATGGTTTATTTCACGATAAAAGATTGTTATATCAGGAAGTCATTTCAGGAGTTTCAATATGCGCTCGCAACTTGATGTTAGAGAAGCAGATAAACACTCGCTGTGGCCTATCGTTCCCATCCAAAAGTTGGCGAAATACCACAATCGGTATTGGGAGAAAAGGAACGGATAATCGGCGTGAATATTGTGAGAATATCCAGGAAATACCAAAATTAAACCCCTGTTCATAAAATGGACTTGTCCGACATTGCCGAGGTCGGGTGGTATTCCGGGAGTCATTATTAAGATACGGGGAAATATTTGTGAAGCCTGTACATAATATTAACATCCATAGTGGGACATACAACAAGTTCATATACCATATAAGAAATAAACGACTCGTGGTCGCTGTCTATCGTACAATAAAACACATGCCCCCTCATGGCTTATTCCCCCTGCAGTGTTTCATTGTACGATAAAGAACTACCACTCGTCATTTATTTCTTAAATGACAAGTCACTAATATTTTTCACTTCAAAAACAAGTGGTATATGTCCCCTGCCCATAAATATTATTCATAGCTTCACCGGGGTAACATTTAACATCACTGTCACATTGTCAACCCAGATACCATAAACAATTAAAAAAATTGATTTTGTTCCCCTGGGCTGACTATTCTTACAAAAGCAAAATAACTAACTGAAGAGTCAGTATGTTCTTACCTACCGCAGTTGTGAGCTAAGATAGTCCTAAACTTACTGATAACACAAGAAGAGCCCTACAGTACATATAGCTAGGAGTTGTGCCCACGTACCTATAACCCAGCAGCCGATCACCAGACACACCAGTAGAGCTCTATAAGGCATTGTGTGGTAGACGGAAGTCTCACTCTCTTGTGTTTGTGGAAACGCTTGAGGCTGGAAACAATCCAACATGAATAATTATCAACCATGACTAGAAATGCAATTTTGTACATTTTAGTACAGTAACTGTATATAGCGATAATCTCACCTCGAGTGTTTTGATATCAAATATATCAACACGAGTCGATACAGTCGCACTCAGCAATATTCCAGCTACATGACGGCAGTCTGTAAATAATCGAGTCTGGACCAGACAATCCATTGATTTACATCATGAGCATTTGATGGGATCGATGACATGCATCAACCAGGTCTTACGACAAGCATAGTCGCCTTTTACGGCAAGCATTGGTTGCTGAAGACCTATTCTTCCCGGGTCCACTTGTATCGACTAGTGTTTATATTTGTATCATATCAAAAGACATGAAGACAAACATCCTATGCAGAAACATTTACCGTATTCAACGTAATAAGCGCCCCGCTCTAATAAGCGCCCACGGCGATATTTGCTAATATATTGGCTAGAGAATAAGCACCCCCTCCGATTGATCAATGTACAAAAGACTTACTTATTCGTGTATAACACGTGTGTTATATGCATCCTTAATTATGGGAAATTAGATTCTGGAAAAATATATCTGTATTATATAAACATTTCAGGCTGTCAGCATAAACCACGAAATTTCTGATCTTTTAACCCTGTTGCGTTTCACCAAAATAATATTCTAATAAGAGCCCCCTATTTCTATTTTTGAGAGCGCCCTGGGCGCTTATTATGTCGAATACGGTAAGTCTAAAAAACGTAACAACAAAAAAGATCCTATAGTTTGCACGTGCCACGCAGTAGTGCCACACACGTACGGATGGTCTCATTCCTGATTTGACCCTTTCAAGGAAAGTCGAATAATCTCCGTGGACCATTATGTCTCTCAATCATATTGATTGTGCTTATTATACAGTTGTGATTTTCTTGATCCCATGTATTGTTTGTGTATGAACTAGCGACGCGGCGTCTGCAACGCGCGGAGCGTCTATGGGTTTTTGGCATGCTGGAAACTGGCTGAAAGCGTGCAGTGGCCAATACGTTCATTGTTGCACAGTATGTGGTCAGCAGACTACGGAACAAGTACCAACAAACCCGTCATGTTGACTGACGATTGACCCCGTTCAGAGCGGATCAGGTCAACGACAACGAGTAGAGGTTCGCTTGATTCGAAACCAGGCTCTCTAAAATCGAACTCAAACGGCACATCAAATTGCAGTAGACTTTCATCAGGCTACTGAAGTACGAGTTACGGGTTAGATGGTCAGAAATCGTCTACATGCAGCTCATATCATTGCTCGACGTCCACGTGTTGTGCCGCCCCTTACATCGCCATATTGCCAACAGACGTCAGTGGTGTACACAACGACGAAACTGAGGTAACCGTCGCTGGTCACGTGTCATGTTTTCAGATGCGTTCCGATTCACTTTGCACTTCTTTGATGCGCGTGGTCGCGTCTAGTGACGTCGACATGAACGTCAAGCCAATGTCAGAGCGAACCCCACTCCTTATTCTACAAGGAAGGGTCACTGGACAGGACTATCGGAACTACATACTGACGCCATTTGTTGTCCCGTTTGCAAGGCGTGCAGGTCGACGTGTTGTCTTTCAGTGCTCACTGTGCATGAATTGCCATTGCTCACCTTCAGCAGCACAATATCCAATGAATGCCCTGGCCAGCAATTGCCCCAAGCCTTTCCCCCACTGAACACGTGTACACGTACGAAAGGCTCGGAATAGGCATTTCACCTGAATATCATCAGTCCCTGCGAGGACCGCCTCCGTGGTCTAATGGTAGAGCGTCCACCCGTAGAGCGGGAGGTCCGGGGTTCGATCCCCAGCCGCGTCATACCGAAAGACGTTTTAAGATTGTACTTGTTGTTAACCTGTCTGGCGCTCGGCATTAAAGGGCTAAAACAAGGACTGGTCGGCTCGGAGTCAGTATACTGTGTCTGAGTGGGGTATTCATGTTAAACTGCGGCATGGTATCTCAGTGTGCTAGCACTATAAATCGGCATCAGCCCGGACTAGTACAAGCAGACACACACCCACACACACGTGCATGCACGTCGCTATATAAGTGCAATAATCTTGGACGCGACGTTAAACCCCATTTCACCTCACCTCACCTCAGTCCCTGCGATGTGTCTCTCCTAGAATGAGCGTCTGTCCGGATAGCGGAAGGTCGGTGGTAGGATCCTCAGCCGCGTCATACCTTAAGCAGTCTCATTAAAATCAGAGCTTAGTTCTCGCTACCGCTAAACAAAGACCTGAGGACATCCCAGTATAGGTCACGTCAGAACGACCTTTCATCCGACCAATCAGAGCGTCGCTTACCAGATCATGGAAGTGACAGTCGGAATGTGATTTCTATTCATGCATCCTCGAAAACTTTAACACGGAATATTCCGAACTATAGTTACGGGTTTAGCGACTGAATCCATACAATCTAGACCATCTATTAGCGATTTCAGAATGTACTTTTGTTCAGGTTTCAAATTTTTAATCGAGAAATTGTCAAAATATGTTTCGAAGCGTTGTCGCCAATTTGAAAATAGTGCCGTAAAGCACGAGAGAGCTGCCTTCTGATTGGTCATTCCATTGGTCGGTCAAAGTTCGCGCAAGGTCGGTCTGACGTGACCCGTAATGGGATGTCCTCAGATCTTTGTTTAGCAGAAGCGAGAACCAAGATCTGATATTAATGAGGTTGTACCGTAAGAGGTTTAAAGAAGGCGCTTGTTGTAACACTGCCTCTGGATTAAACAATGACTGGCCGGCTCGGAGTGTATTGTGTCTGAGTGGGTATTCATGCTGCATGGTAGCTCATTGGGCTATCCATATAACCGTCAACAGTCCGGACAAGTACAAGCAGCCCTCACACACGCACAACCTTAACAATTGGTTACCATGACGTCACAATCAAATGACATCACTAATGGCTCCGCTACTGAATCTGTTAGCAGTACTTTTTACACTTAAGAAACTGCTTTTTACTTTCTACAAACTAAAAAAGTTGGAAGAATGATGTTGGATGATAAATAAAATCACACCCTCGTGTCTTGTGATATCAAATATATCAACACTTGTTGATAAAAGTGGAAAAAAAACTCGGCAAGCCTCTGAGTTTTCCCACTTTTATCAGCTCGTGTTGATATATTTGATATCAAAAGACAAACGGGTGATATTCTCTATATGTATGCCTCGTTATCCATCTTTTCGCGATGTCACCCATGTTAATCGTATGGTAGACTTCACATGATTTAAATTTTCCACCTTATCTAGTTTGTTTTATAACATTGTGATATATTAGTGAGTGAGTGAGTGAGTATGGTTTTACGCCGCTTTTAGCAATATTCCAACTACGGTTATAACGCACACGCTTATAACGAACTTACGGATATAACGAACTTACTTTTTGGTCCCGACTACTTGCTGTAGTCATGCTGTATATGTACTTATAACGAACTACGGTTATAACGAACTAAAATTAGTACTCCCTTTGAGTTCGTTATAACCGTAGTTTACTGTAGATTGATTTCGTCACATTATGGCTGAGCTGTTGCCGTAGAGTAAAACCGCTCGCTGTTATAAGTAAATTCAGAATTTGAAGCCCAATATTTAACATCCATTTACAATAATAACAATAAAAAACACTTCTAAAGCATAACATGTTTCCAAATTGTAATAAAGAGTTTACATTTAATTACATATACGATATTTAACATAATGAAATGTGTAATTTGAAAACCGTAACATCGGTTTGTTTAGACTTGCCCATCCTGTAAGTGTTGGTAGAAACCCACAACAGGCCAGAAATGAAGTCTCATTCAACTGAACAGATCTGATCAACTTCACAAGGATTTTGAAAAAAGTTTCACTGATTTTTGAAGTGATGCAAATCATGTGCGCCAAAGGGGTTTTCATAATACCTAGTCACTTTATCAAACCTTATCAAGTATTACCTACCTGTACATGTAAGAAATAATGATTGCTTAAACTAAACTGTACCCGTGAAGATCTGGGGTAGAATAGGTCTTCAGCAACCCATGCTTGCCATAAGGGCGACTATGCTTGGCGTAAGAGGCGAATAACGGGATCGGATGGTCAGGAACGCTGACTTGGTTAATGCATGTCATCGTATCCCAATTGCATGGATCGATGCTCATGACATTATTCACTGGATTGTCTGGTCCAGACTGGATTATTTACAGACCGCCGTCATGTAGCGGAAAAAATTGCTGGGTGCGGCGTTAAACAACAAACAAACAACGTAACTAACTAACTAATTGTACGATGATGAAACTTACCTGTCAACGCCGGCATAGGATTAATAAAAAGGTCTCTCTCTTCGGAATGCATTTATATATGGAGGCGACATTAATGCGATATCTATCGCGCTTTACGCGTTATTGCTCAATGGCGCAAGTAATTCGCAATTTCTCGTTAAACCAGCACAGGTAGCCCTTGGTTTATTGCGGACGCATTAGATATTTATGCTAGGTATGTTTGCTACTGAAAAGAATGTTCGCTGTTATCGTTTAAGGCTAAATATTTTCAAAGAGCGGTAATGTTAATGTACGTAAAGAATTTGTTTATTTATCATGCTATGAAACTGACAAAGTGTATAAATGTAATGGACCCGTGAAGATCCGGAGTAGAATAGGTCCACAGGAACCCATGCTTGCTGTAAAAAGGCGACTATTCTTGTCGTAAGAGGCGACTAACGGGATCGGGTGGTCAGTCTCGCTGTCTTTGTTGATGCATGTCATCGTATCCCAATGCTGACAGAGTCAATCATTGGATTGTCTAGTCCAGATACGCTTATTTACATACCGTCGTCATATTGCTAGCATATTGCTGAGTGCGGCGTTAAACAACAAACAAACAAAACAAAACCTCTCGCCGTGTTACACAGAATATCCACCCCTTATGAAATACACACAGGTAATGCAGTCAGTGATAACCTTGTTCTTCATGATATGGGCGTGTCCTTAGCAAAAGCCTACATATTAAGAAACACCTAAATATCCATTTCTGCATAAATGAAATTGGTTTATACTTACTCCAGCACGCGTGATTTACCATACATTAATGTGTTATGGGCAGATGGCATGCTGCTAACTATATGGTCTGTCTGTCTGTCTGTCTGTCTGTCTGTCTGTTCATCATCATTTTATCTCCAATACATATAGGATACACGCCTTTGCGTACAAAAGTTGAGTACAGACAGGTTTCAAAAATTCAGTTTCGCATTTATTACTTCATTTGCATAATATAGATATTTGGCTAGATTTGTAATAATATATGTATCTGGTGATGACAGAAGCATATTAAATTTATGAACGTTAGGATGACAATAGATCTTTGCTATGAGATATAGCTGCCGTAACTTGACATAAGTTCGACAAATAAGCAGGAAGTGGTACTCGGTTTCAACAGTCTAATTTACAAAGTTTGCATTTTCTTATATTTCTTTGAATTTTATAATGACGTTCAATTTCCAAAGTATGACAACTCAGTCTGAATCTCGAGAGGGTTGTTTTCATATTTTGCGAATTTAAGAATGACAAATAAGGTTCATATTTAACACAAGTTTTAAAGAAGGTATAAAATGTCATTTGTGAACTTGCAAGAAGTTCGCTATGCCAGATCTGCTGAAAATTGTCTTTAAAACATATTAAGAAAAACCTTTCGGTTTCCATACATTTGAAACATCAATACATCTCCGAACAGAATCTCTGTCTGTTGTATGTTATACATATCATATCACTGTATGAATGTAGGAATACCTGTATATTTGAATATGTGTATATTCGAGTGAGTGAGTCGAGTTTTACGCCGCTTTTAGGAATTTTCCAGAAATGGGTTCACACTTTGTACCCATGTGGGGAATCGAACCCGTATCTTCGGCGTGACGAGCGAACACTTTAACCACTAGGCTACCCGACCGCCCTGATTGTGTGTATGTGTTATGGTATATGTGTTTACATATATTGCCATTGTGTGTTATTCTCGAGGTGAGTAGCTGTGCATATGTGTTTGTACTTATGCATGTTAGGGGCCTAGGATTTTGTATATATCAAGAATAGATATCTTTTTCAGCTATAGCTAAACTATTAGCCTGAATGTGTTTTTTTAAGAAACTCACCTTACAACAATATATTTTTTTCTACGGCCCGATGCAGTATTATAAGTTTATGCCCCAAACTGGGAAAATGTGAGCATGTATGTTGAGGTGAATTCTATTAAGTGTTTGTGTCAGGATTTGCCCTGTTATTGGGATGTATATGTGCGCGCATACAGATATGTTGTTGGTGGGTACCTGGGCCCCGATAGGATTGTACACCTGTATATTCCTATCTGTCATTTATGCATGTAATTATTACATTATACTTTGTATAAAGGGGCGGTCGGGTAGTCTAGTGGTTAAAGCGTTCGCTCGTCACGCGGAAAACCCGGGTTCGATTCCCGACATGGGTACGATGTGTGAAACCCATTTCTGGTGTCCCCCGCTGTGATATTGCAGGAATATTGCTAAAAATGGCGTAAAACCATATTCACTCACTTTGTATAAACGTATTTGGAAGTCCCCCTTCGGCCGAACTAACTCAGTGGTCAAAGTCCTCGCGGTGTGCTGTGCATGGTTCCACCCATAGCCGTGCATGATTGCAATACCAGATCCGCTATCATACTTGGGGTACCATCCACCGACTCTGGCCTCCACAGGAGATATCGCTTGTGTGAGGTCAAGTGATATCTCCCAGACGATATCAGTACAATGAAATTGCATCACTGTGACGTCACCGGTTACCGTGATATGTTTGAGTAAACTCGTCTGGGACTCTGGTCTGGGACACTCGTCTGAGACACTCGTCTGGGACACTCGTCTGAGATACTCGTCTGGGACGCTCGTCTGGGACATTCGTCTGGGACACTCGTCTGAGACACTCGTCTGGGACTCTCGTCTGGGACTCTCGTCTGGGACTCTCGTCTGGGACACTCGTCTGGGACACTTGTCTGGGACACTCGTCTGAGACGCTCGTCTGGGACACTCGTCTGGGACACTCGTCTGAGACACTCGTCTCTATTTCTCAACACTGTTCCCAAAGTGGTACAGTTTACATACCTTTCATCTTGGTAACTTCGTAATGTGCTTCCCTATTAAACTGACGTCATATAACTGAATAAGCAACAAAATCATGTCCATATTCGTAAGAAAAGTCAATTGTCAATGCGACTATATCCTGTACATATGTTTATGACCACTATTAAAAAGGTGCGCACAAACTGTCCCATGCGTGGCACCCGTCACAAACATATGTAAAGGCAGGTCAAGTTTTCAACTGAAAAGAGACTGGAACATATTCCGGGTATTCTGGGAAAGAATAGTACCCCAACAACCTTTGCTGGTCGTACGAGTCAACTAAATGGATCAGATAATCAGGGGCGATGACGCCGTGATATAGCTGGAATATTGCTGAGTGTGGCGTACCAACAAACAAACACAACACTGACCGAACAACATCAAAGTCTCGGTAAACATCACCGACATAAATCACAAACAGACGGGAAGGAAACTGCAAACTGTTTTATTATATATTTTATAACTATTTCCTCCAATACAGGACAAATAAATAATTATCATTTGGGTAAATGTCTGTGAATATGTGTGTATTCAGTCGCCAATGTGTCAACAGTCACTCAATATGGTATTTAATGAGGAAAAATAATTTAGCTGGCTTTGAGTGACATGCCTTTCCAATGCTAACACACTTCGTACAATGTACTTAAACCCATTGCTTTCTTTGCGCCATGGTGTTTTCTTCACGATATGACCTCAAACATTACCAGTGTCATATACCAGTGTGTGTATAGTCAGTACAAAGGATAATTCATATCCATGTAATATTCTCCTCTTTAACCATATAGAGCCGTGGCAATCTGCAACCACGTCAGAGGTAAATACTGTTCAGGTAAATGAGATCCGTCTCTTAAAGCTGGGTTGGTGTTTTCCGCTAAGAGGGCAATGGGCCTTGGGGGGACACTTTCCTACACAGGGTATATTATTTGCTACGTATAATTGGTCTGAAAATGTATTGACAGACATTGTGGTTACTGTAGCGTGAGACAGAAGAAACTCTTTCACACGAGGAGAATAGATATAAACATATTGTTTGTTTGGATTGTTGCGTTACATATTTCTCTAATGAGATTGAAAAGGAATTAGGTTTTGTGGCAGGATACAATTAGACGACGAATGAGATTACCACCCTTATCCTCTGACCCCGAACCCTAACACATCCCATTACCCCACTACGGATCAGATATTACCTTAAGTAACTTCATTCAATTAAAAAGGAGAAATGAAAATCCTTTTAGAAAGAACTGTATTTTTAGCGTGAAGCTAACTGCTCCGTTTGGGTTGTTGTTTTAGGCCACCGTATAAAAAATACAAGACACACCCAAATATTATTACCTATATATTTAAACAAAGTGTTATTAATGTGAGAGAGCTCTAGCTGATTGTGTCAACTTAAGTTTCCCTTTAATCATATAACATTTAGTTGAAGAAATGCGAAGATATTGGAAGTAAAACTTGACTTTATAACGGATCCCAATAACACTGTGTCAACCATCACCATCACCATACCGTTTCTTGTACATATTAAACGAGAGACACCAAATATGACTCCATCACACACACAAAGAATGTATTATAACAGACGTGTTGATTTCAACGCGTGTCGTCTAGTACTCAATACAGAACAATGTTGTCTAGTCCACATTAACAACACAATGTTATGTCGTCAACAGCTGAGGAATAATGAACACTTGTTCAATCATCGCAGAACAATGTTATCTGGTCAATCATTGCCGAACAGTGTTATCTGGTCAATCATTGCAGATAAATGCAATCTAGCCAACCGCTGGAGCACAATGCAATCTGGTCACCGCTGGAGCACAATGCAATCTGGTCACCGCTGGAGCACAATGCAATCTAGCCAACCGCTGCAGCACAATGCAATCTGGTCACCGCTGGAGCACAATGCAATCTGGTCACCGCTGGAGCACAATGCAATCTGATCACCGCTGGAGCACAATGCAATCTGGTCACCGCTGGAGCACAATGCAATCTGGTCACCGCTGGAGCACAATGCAATCTGGTCATTAAATGCAGAACAGCTTATTCTTCAGAACCATTGCAGAACTATGCAATCTGGTCAATCATTGCAGATAAATGCAATCTAGCCAACCGCCGGAGCACAATGCAATCTGGTCATTAAATGCAGAACAACTTATTCTTCAGAACCATTGCAGAACAGTGTTATCTGGTCAATCATTGCAGAACAGTGTTATCTGGTCAACCGCTGGAGCACAATGCAATCTGGTCAATAAATGCAGAACAACTTAATCTTTAGAACTCTTTCAGAACAGTGTTACCGGTTCAGCGTCATTGTTCTGATCACTGCCGTGCATTCTTGTATACATCCCTATGGAGGGGATACATCAGCCGTCAGGAACGTCATTCCCCATGTTTGACGTCACACTTTGTCAATCTAATGGCAGTGAATAATTAATTGCACCACAATGCACTGATAACCATACCACTGTACATTGACTTGTAATGTTGAGCATGTGCACCTTGTGGAGCAGTAGCATTTTCCATCTGTTCTACCCTGTCAACTAGTTGGGTTTCTCCAGTGTGGTAGAAGATGGAAGATGTCCCAGAGGGTGTCCTACTGATGGCAGGTAGAGCCCGCTGAGGGGTGGGCGTGGCGTTCCCAGCACCCCCATGTTATGGCGGAGGTAGGCAGACTCGAGACTGGACACGACGCTAGCAGCCTGGGGGTAGAGTTGAGACCAGTAGGGGTTGGTCTGTATGATGCGTTGAACTGCAGCGTAGTTGGTAGCCTCTGCTAGTAGTTCTATTCCAACAGCTGTCTGTCGCTTCCATTTTGTTCTGAAACAGATTAAAGAACAATGAACTGACAAATGATATCATTGAATCATTTGGAATTGTCCTGCGAATCATCTCGAGGGGAGGTGAAATGGAGTTTAATGTCGATTATTGCACTCATGTAGCGACGCTCGTGTGTGCGTGCATGCGGGTGGGTGACTGCGTTCGTGCGTTAACGTGTACTGGTCAGGACTAATGTCGGTTATATAGTGCTAGCCCACTGAGATACCATGCTGCAGGTTAACATGAATACCCCACTCAGACACAGTATACTGACTCCGAGCCGACCAGTCCTTGCTTTAACCCCTTAATGCCGAGCGCCAGACAGGGTAACAACAAGTATCATCTATCAACGGATTTTGTTATGACTCGGCCGGGGATCGAGCAACCGCCCTTCCTCACACCGGGCAGGCGCTCTACATCAGCCACACGCTCCGAAAAATATAATCATCATCATCATCAGACGAAGAGGATTGAACAACAGACTCAAAAACAGATAATGACAATGAAGCATGTGTGCTTCTTGGTATGCTTCATATTCAATCCATGACAGACAGATATCATTGCGCAGTTCACACATAAGTCGGATATGATATATAGATATCACTGCGCATTTCACACGTGAGTCAGACATGACATACAGATATCATTGCGCAGTTCACACGTGTGTCAGACATGATATACAGATATCACTGCGCATTTCACACGTGAGCCAGACATGACAGACAGATATCATTGCGCAGTTCACACATGAGTCAGATATGATATATAGATATCATTGCGCAGTTTACACGTGAGTCAGACATGACATACAGATATCATTGCGCAGTTTACAAATGAGTCAGATATGATATATAGATATCACTGCGTATTTCACACGTGAGCCGGACATGACATACAGATATCATTACGCAGTTCACGCGTCTGTCAGACATGACATACATATATCATTGCGCAGTTTACACATGAGTCAGACATGACATACAGATATCATTGCGCAGTTTACAAATGAGTCAGACATGACATACAGATATCATTGCGCAGTTCACGCGTGAGTCAGACATGACATACAGATATCATTGCGCAGTTCACGCGTCTGTCAGACATGACATACATATATCATTTCGCAGTTCATATATGAGTCATATAAGGTCATTCACATCCTGGATGCAATCGCCTTAGGCGCAACAGTTAGTTGTCCATGTAGGCTGTCCATGTAGCTGTACAATAGGTGTGAGAGTGAATGAGTGAGAATGTGTGTACGACCCTGTCAGTTATGTCAAGTCAAGGACACCAGACATGGGCTTCACACATTGAACCCGGGTCTTCAATCACTATAACCGCTAGGCTTCCCCACCGCCCCCAAAGACTGAACCTAGGCTGCCAATACCAAGTTAGCCCTGCGTTCATGAGTATAGAGTCAGGAACTTCCATAAGTATCTTGCATCACCACCAACATCATCCCCATCTTCATCCTCTTCATCGTCGAACGCAGAAGAATAAGAAAATTAAGGAGAAGGTGATGGCCCTGACTCAGTAACATCCATTATGTTTTGAAATATCGCAAAGTCATCTGAAGGTACATTTTTTCCAAAAATCTTATCAAACGTCAAGTACGATAGATCAAACAATTTGACCGGGGGCGAATACAAAATTTCAATCTGATAAGTCAATCTGTGGAAGATTATCGCACGATCTGTTGTGTTAGCTAGTGCAGATCTATCAACTGTAACTGCGGGCGGTAAATACAAAAGCAAACAACGCCTTCACATGTTTTTAATGAAGAAACAAATCGGGCACAGCAACTAATCATGCGAATGGATTTCTGACCCATCACTTGATTGACTGGTTTGTTTACAGGCCTACCTCCGCATGGCAGGGGTACATCTGTATGGCGTAAGGCAAGAAACACATACTTTTTTAAGCAAGTTTTGTGAATGGCGGGTTCTACCGGTACGGCAAGAAAAGCTCACCTTTTTTTTGCTAACACCTGGTGTCATCACTGTTTTTCAGAGATTCATTCATATAATTTTCACCGCCATATTACTTTTAACACCAAATGGAATCTGTTTCGTTGGATGAGCGAGACTGTTTGTTCCCATTCGTTGACGATTTCTATTTAGAGACTTGCTGATTTCTTCTACTTAAAACATGACTATTTTCTTTTCAAGAAACAACAAATATGTACTTATTACAATCCTGCCATTTCCACATTTCCTGTGTGCAGTCATCGGTATAAATTTCCTTTTACGCAACATACTTGATCGAACATAAATAAAAATGTAACTCTATTTATATAATTAACAAAATAATGAGATTTCATTTCGTGATCCTTCTCCTTACAGAAGTACAAATGATTGTGGAAATTATACTGAATTATACTGAATTATACTGAATTATACTGAATAGACTACTTGTGATAGCAACCACCCAACCACAGAACCCATAGGCATAATGATTGTATGATTGTCAATTATAATAGCAAAATAACTCGACATCTGTGCAATTCCATACAACCACAGTATATAGCAATCCATTTAGCTGCCAATGCGTGCAATCAACTGCGCATAACTAGAGTCAACCAATGAAATGAAGCTACTGTATTCCGTACAAATACTTCAAACTTTTAATGGTATTCAATAGAATAGTGTAAGCACGACAATGGGTCCTTGTAGCATTGTCCTGAATACAAGTTGTTTCATTTCATAATGAAATATGTCAATTTTCCCAACAATAATGTCAAGTTAGTTGCATATAAAAACACGATAATATGCAATAAATATGGAAATAGGACATATTGCTCATAAATGGGAAAGTCCAGTGAAATGGTAGCGATCAAATTCGGCATGGAAACAATGAAAGCAGTATTGATGACTGAACAAAGGTGATGTGACATTCAGGCACTCAGAGCCGCTTAACGGAAATCACTCCATATGAATTAATGTAATAAAGCAATCTTGTTAGTGGATAGTAAGTCGATATTTGATATATTAGTATGTAAGGTCATTTGTATATTGTAATATACTACTTCGGGTTTTGTGAGACAAAAGTACAGGGTGAAGATATGTCCACCTCAATTTCCCGTATATTGAATTAGTAAATGGAGTTAATGTATATCATATTTTTCTGTATGTTTACATAAGTTCTTGTAACATGTACGTTTTTCACAACAATAAATATGTGAACATGTGTACTCTTAAAAAAGTTACATTATTTGTGCTACTTAATATGTTTATGCATATGTCTATTTTACATCAACGAAAAGTTACAGAAATGGCCGTGATGCCGACACTACCATAACGATTTCGAATAACAAATGTGACCCACCAGGGCAAAAGGGGCCTTATGGGTGCTAGGATACAATTGTGCTGTGACGCTTTAAAGACGTTTGACGTCAACTTGCTTCAGTGAAGATCGCCATGTGTGCGGACTGTATATTAATTTCTCTCGTTAGTTCCTAATGTAATAAACACATTATTTCAAAACCTTTCAGCACACATTTCTACTTTCAATCCATCATACACTATGTTCAAAAACTGTAATTATTGCATCAACAGTTATCAGTCGGAAAATGAGTCAAAATGGTTGATGGCATGTATCTCTATAATAGATAAGTATTGAAGTTTGTGAATGGTATTATGTGCGCAGAAGGTACTGTAGTTTTAGAATATAATGAAAAGTCAAAATGTGATTTTTCAACCATGAGGTCCCTTTTCTCCGAGCGGGTTTGTTGGAATTTCTATCCATTAATTGAAACAATCTTACATAAATATACCGCAGTGAATAACGTCGTCCGCACAGCTCGACACAATAGGAAGGGATCTTACACCAGTCTCTCAGGTGTGATGCAAGTTTTTTATCTCTTCAAGTTTCGCTGTTCCTATTTTCAGAGAGCCAAGGGCTAAAGGTTAAAAGTCTAACGGCACGGTTCGAATAAGTCCTTGGTGTCTGAATGGCACACGTATAAATAAGAATTTGAACATGTTACGACAATTGTTTGGAGACAACGACATGCTCTTTGTCAAAAGTCTAGTCGACGAATATATTACCACACCTGATGGACAGTATGCTAAAATACAACGCTAATTCTGCGGATTCAGAAACTGAAAAGGGTATTTTCATTCGCAATGAAAATAAACGGGGCAAACCTTTCTTTGTTATCGAGCTGATGTCAAATGGCGTTCTCCGAAATCTTGAATATGATCAAATGTATTTTTCTTCTTCACATATTTAAATTCATCAGTAACACATAAATATCTTTGTGAGTGCTCTCTAGCATATTTGTAACTAAATATATTATCATCATTACTTTTTGGATTCTTTTTGTCTCATGTATACATGCATACGCGTGTATATGTATGCGCGCGCGCGCGTGTGTGTAGGTATATTCGTTTGTGTGTAATACTGTATATATGTACGTGTGTGCGTATGTATGTGTGTGTGTTATTCTCATTACTTGTAAATTATTTCTATGCACTGTAATTTATTCTGCACCATATTATTCACACATCACATCACTTGTCATTGTACATCCTTATAGAAATGCTTTGATTAAATTTAGATGTTCAAACCATAAACTTATGATTGAATACGGACGTACACTTGGTATAAGTGCGAATGAAAGATTCTGTCCATTGTGTATCGTGCCTTGTGTCGCAACTGAATACCATTTTTGTATGATATGTCCATTCTATAATGATATAAGAAGTATATAACCGAAATACTATGTACAAAACCCAACTCTTTTTAAATTCCAACAACTACTGTCATCACAAAATGCTTACACTGTAAATGTCTTAGCGAAATATATTTTCCTGTCAATTAAAAAAAGATGTAAACAACTCAATATTAATTAATTGACACTTAGATTGTGCAAAGTATAATATTGTATGGCGCTCAATTGAAAAAATAAATGAAATATGTATTGTATAATGGGCCGGTGGCCCCTTTCTGCAATAAACTCTCTCTCCATCACAGTGAAATGAAATGTATGTAGTAGAAGGCCTCTTCCAATTTGTTTCACTCGTTCCCAATCTGAATCACTTTGGGTAACAAATATGTTCAAACTACACCAGCACAGGACAAGGTGGGACAATGTCCTTTTTAATCCATGGAATATGTATGATTCAGGAAATGAACTAATTTCTTAGAAATTGTTATGGAAGTTATCAGATGTGTCCATATGAATGATAATTGGACTTTAATCATGTCAACACTTGTAAGGGTTTTGTCGCGTTTATTTCCATGTTTATGACTTTAACAATACGTAAGGTTTATGTAAAGCTAAATGATGGTATTAAATATTATTAGGATGTTTGTTTCTAATATTTGAACATGAACAAGTTTTTGACCCATAATTTCTCAGGAGATAAAAGACAAGCATATTGTGAACAATTCCTCTTGGGTCACCGACTTGTTCGAAAACTCGGCCTTTTATATTTGAGCCATACTTATGTACTTGATCCCATAATAAGTGTTTGGATTACAATTGCATATGTAAGAAGACGATAGGCTAGTCTTCAGACAGGACCTGTAAAATACTTAGTAATCGAGACTGGGCAAGACACGTGGGTGTGAAGGAGAAACCACTTCTTGGTATAACGTGAGATTGTAAACCCTGACAGGAGGGAGCATGCCGAGAGGGCCGTAGGTCAGTGTTTATGTTCTAAAGTCAACCCGAGAGGTGGTTTATCAAACTTATAAGGCGGCTCGTTACATATCTAAGAAGAAAACATCACGATATCTTATAGTGAAACAATGGGGGGGGGGGGGGGGGGGGGGGGGGGGGTTAAAATCAATCAATGTCGGCCCCCAAAGGAGGGTTGACAATCATGGTAACCAAGAATGCAAAGGATTACATTTAAATTCATGCGCTCTATGGAGGAATTCAACAATTTCATAAAGCGTATAACCGAAGAATCAACTAAGTATGACAAATTCATATCTCCTGCCAATGCCAACTACTACAACTACTTATAATAATCATCATCATCATCATCATCATCATAATAATAATGATAATGTATGTGCCAGGATCACCACTAATAATAATAATAATAATAATAATAATAATAATAATAATCCTGTCTGTGCATTTTTTATTTTTTTTAAGGAGTGAATTATAATAATAAACATAATAATAACACTAATCTACAGCTACAAGAGTTTAGCTCACCTTCGGTTCTGGTACCATGTCTTGACCTGTGTGTCAGTGAGTCCGAGTTTCGTGGCCAGTTCCATTCTATCCTGGACACTGAGGTATTTCTGGCGGTCGAAACTTTTCTCCAAACACCGTAGTTGGTGCTCGGTAAATGCTGTTCGGGCCTTTCGGGGCTTTTTTGACTTGTAGAGCATTATGGGAGAACCATTAGCATCTTTTTCTCCGTCATCTGAAACCAGAGAATAATCTTGTTCCAAGTTTTTGTTGAAAAATATTTCATCAAATAGAATGCAGTACACTTTGTGTGGTATATTTTATTTTCTGCTGTTTACTGTAAAATGAAAATAAAAATACCACGTGTCGATTACCTACTAATGAATAACGTTAATAGTAAAATGAAAATATTAAATTAGGAGAAGCTATATAATTTTGACAGGATCTTCGGAGAATATATTGACAGTTTGTCAAATATTGACGTCCCAAAAAGTAATGACAAAACATTGTGCTGAAAATAATTTGTATTATGAAGTTCAATTTGGGACAGACATTTATTGTAGCATAGTTTATTGTGTTTATTGTGTTTATCTTGACCTCATGAATAAAAGTACTTTTTGTGTATAATTTTTATGCAATGCGCATGTCGCACAATAACCTTCATGGAACATGGTGACCGATAACAGGAGTTATATTCAGCCAAAATTAACTAAAATGCGACGTGAACGTCTTAAAACATATGAACAGAAAATGAGAATACATGTAAACCTTAACTTAATGATAACATGACAAAATATTTGCCATAGAAGTAATCGCATTGATCATAAAAAATAAATCAATCAATATTAATCGTCTAAATGAATTCTGTAAATCCCGGGAAACTAGATAGATTTGAAAGATCCGTTCTTTATCATTCTTCTGAAAGTAACGCGAAATAGATTATCCCTTCAAGATTTGTTTTCATATTATTCATCGAGGCTGTTTGTGAGGAAACCCAAAATTCTTAAAAGTACAAATAATTAATATAGAAACGTAAATGGAAGAGACTTCTTTGATGCTTGATTCACAATGATTTATCGAGGCGGCAATTTTCTTAAGTGATTAAACGCTTACAAAAAGGAGCAAAGACGTATTTCTTCTGTCACGTTTTTCTATAAGACCAACTGCATTGGTATCTACCATCTACAACACGCGCGCTCTCTTTGATGTGGATTTGTAGTATATGATCTTTACACTTTCTGAGCAAAGCGAAACACCACACAATGACCAACACAACACAGTAATGATGGTGTCTATATGCCTGGTCATGAGTAAAACGTTTGTTCTCGTTTTGCCATCGTTTAATATCCATTTGAAAAGACCTTTCCCAAGTAGTATTCACAGCAGAGAGTCTCGGGTACAGTTTGTACGTATATTGACTGTTCTGCTTTTATAATAGGTTGATATTCCTGAGAGGGTGGCAAGTAGTTTCTTCACTGTGACTCGTACTTAATGAACTCAGAGACATGTACGTTCACTGGACTCAAGGTTATTAAGAGCACAGTTGGGTGCGTGGAATTTTGATACAAAAATAGATTTACTTTCAAAACAAACCCGCTGTTCCTTGACTTATAAGTTAACAAAACGCCTTTTGATCCGAGGACTGGCTATATTCGGTCAACCCCCCTACTTGTTTATTTCTACGCTCATGGCAATAATTCCGGACATATATTTTCGTGAAAATGATTAAAATTAACGGGTCATAAATCTTCATTTATTTTTTAACCCGATGTTGTTGTATTTTACAGATGTGCATTGATTTTTCATTATCGTGCTAAGCGTAACGGCGGAAAACATGCAATTTTCAGAATGTCGCGAAAGTAAAGATAGCTAACCTAGCATAATCTGGAAATGTTCTTTTAAAATTTATTATCTTTCAAATATTTCTTCGCAACATGTTTCGTAAGCACATCCTTTTAGAATCGTACGATGGACTTACGAGATTTTCTATGATTATGGAAATGCTTTTTGTCACTTTTATCGAATATATCCTTGGTTTTATACATCAAGTGAAGCGTTCATAAACCTTAAAACTTTAAATCAGGGATGACATGTGAAATATGTTGTCATTAAAGAAGAATTAAGTCGACGACTGATTGACACAGAGAGAAGCTGAAAACATTTATAATAAAACAAATTAGATTTAGCTGCAGTTGATTCTAAACGTTTAGCGTGGTCACACCTGGAGAAGACAACGTATCTAAGGCAGTTATAATTAAAAGCGACAAATGTAAATAGCATTGCTCATTGTTAATACTACCTGTATATCTTTTTTAGTATTTTTAATAATTACATTAAATTGGGCGACTTAAATTGGGTGGCGCATGAATAGGGTGCACTTTGTGCATAATGTAAACACTTGTAAATTAATATGTCGCGTATGTTCGTGGTTTCCTGGGTGTGAGAACAAGCTAATTGTATTTTTGATAATTGTCCTTTCCCGAGTTTTAACACAGTTGTTTATATAAATGCAAAAAATAAGTTATGTTATTTATCGCATTTGGAATAATTATTGTTTACTGAACACATTATCCAAGAATATCTTAGTGTACATCGACTATATATACTATTCAACACTGTCACAAACAGAATGTGATCTCTCCGGTAATTGTTATTTGCTTAATTTCATTCATACCTTAGGAGAAACCTAGAAAGACGTCAACATATTTCCTGATACATTATGATGATATATCCGATCATGAACATTTTGATGTAGATATTGTCAAAAGAGTATCAATATAAGTTCATACGAAATCCAATTGCATCAAAAAATGAAACCGCTGGTGTAATACATGATTAATAACCCACCTTTTCGCGTCTTCAGGGGTGTTAAAATAATATAGTTTTCTCCAAATATATAATCAATACTTCACTCGAAAGAAATAACACTGCGTGACGGAACTACTTTCAAACGACATTAAAGGCACTTTTTCTGAGTAAGATCATGAAAATCATGCACCAAAATACATAATATTTAGAACATGTGTCTTTTTCTTGTCAAATAACTTGGTTTTTTCCGATCTCGTGACCTGCAAAGTTGTCATTTTCACTCGTGGCTGCGCCATTAATTCAAATCTCGATTTTGCATGTCCTGTGAGTTTAACATGTTATGTGACAAGAAAAGACTAATATCCTCCATTTAACACATTTCTTTAAAACGAAATAAATCACATTGAATTGATTAGTGTTTAAACGTACTGTGAACCAGCGAATCACATCGCGCCTTATTCAGCAGCTAAATAAAAATATAAAGATTATATGATGTCACATATTCATATCATAATTAAAGAAACGCTAAGAACCTTTGAATGTTGACCCGTCATCATCCGAGTCATCCGAGTCTTCATGAGGGTAGGTGCTGCTGGATATACTATCTTTTCTGCGGGTTATTTCTGGACACGGACGCTTGACCACTCCAGGAATATCAGCAAGAATGTCTGTGATTAGGAACGAAGGTCTTTGGTAAGATGGAGCCGTGGACACAGTGGATGACTTCTCTGTTGTTTCTCCAGCACGAACTGAATGAGGTAGATACTGACCATCAAACACATTTGAGGAAGAGTCTCTTGCACAACGATCTCTGCTGTGGGGGTACTGATGGATGGGGAACACTGGTTTAGCTGGATAAGTGTCTTCAGATGAACAGGAAGAACTAGAATCCGAATGAAAGTGTCTGATGGCACCAGAAACAGCTCCAGGAGTGTGTTCTTCATAAGTCTGTTTTACTGCCTTTGTGTAGCCTTTATCATTCTCTGGACGCATGGCTTTTGGTTTGAGGTCTTCTCTGTTGGGATGATGGGTTACAGATTCGACCTCGGAATCTAAGTCTGATACAGGGCTTCCTGGGACCCTTCGTTCTCCCATAAAAGAGGAATCAGACAACGGGGTGGATGAACGTCCCGTCACTTCCGCCATTGTAACAGCTGGTCAAGACTCCTTATCCAAATGGCGAATCCGTTTTACGAATTAAAAAAAAAACTGTAGAACAGTCGTCCGTAAAATCTGACAATTCTCACACTGATAGACGTAAAGAAATCCCTATTAAATTAATTCTAGGATCAAGACTGAAATTAAATACTTTTAAATAGTTCTTGAATTTCGAATCATCCAATGAAACAGAAACTAATTATTAAGTCAAATGAACATCACGTTACGAGAAAATGATAGCTTCATATCGTCTGCGGCGATAGCCTGTCGCGTGCCTTGTCGTCGACCGTGTGGTCCGAATAACGATGTGGCTATCACTTTTAATGGAATTTAAATCTCAAACGACTGAACCAGTCTAGGAGATGGCATTGTCGCGGGACACAAATGCTGGGACAATGGCATAACAGAGGGCTTGTAACATGTCCCTCTTGCGCGCACTCAAACATATGCTACTCGCTTCAATGATCGTCGATGGATCAATTCTATTCTGTGCGATTACCTTCACCGTCTTTTGACTAGCAAATTGAACGGATCGTTCCTGCATGTTGATTTGAGCTTGCTAGGAGAAGGAAGGGGGTACCAGCACGGCTGAATGCTCGGTGAACGGATTTAAGACTTGTAATGCCCTGAAAGGTCCTCACAGGGCGGGGCTAGGACCTCCTTAACTCATTGCCGCATTCACGTCTGCCGCTGGTAATATTTCCCGCGCTCTCATCGTTAGGAGACGAGAAAGTTTGTAAAGAGAATGGCGTTTATATTGGATATGGTTTGGCACAGGGGACAAGAGGGCAATTATTTCATAGATATCTGTAATTACCACCACGTTTTCATTTCTTTAGATTTGTAGAAATTTCCCGCCATTTCCATGGAGGCAGACGACAACGATGAAGAGATATTAACTGATGACTCGGTGATTGTAGACAAAAAGATCGTCGGACAATACTGGCAAAATGAGTTGATAATTGGTAGATTTGACAAGAAATTTAATAACTTACGATCAAATGGAGGTCTATTTCTGTCGGAGCTTTGGTGTGATTTTTCCCATTGAATTGCGGGATCTTTAATTACCTCCCTTTGCTGTATCAACTGAAAACAAGCTGACAAACCCATGCATGTGCACACGCAGGTGTTTTTCCTTGTCCTTTTATTTTTAAACATAAATATTAGTATCTGTATCGAATTCATTTCAAGGATTTAAAAAAAAATCTGAGCAGTTAAATTAAATATAAAACGTCAATGCAAGAGCATAACCAGTCTTAATTATCCGCCGAAACAGATTCCATTTGGCGTAGAGGGCAAAGTAGCTGTAAAAAGTTTATGAATCGACCACCGAAAATCAGCTGTGACACAGCTTCGCAAAAAGGGTAAGCATGTACCGCCCAACAGTTGTGCAAATCAGATATATACTCGTATTATTGAATAAAAGGGACAAAACCCTTTCCATATTCAAAGGAAATCTCTGCCGGAATCAGAGTTGGTTGTACGATTCCAACTATACCGCGAGTATGGGGTCATGAATCACTATCAAGAGATATGCTATTCTTTAATGTTTGTTTCAATTTTCAATTTGTTTTGTTTTTGCGAAATATATTTCTTGTATATATCATGAAGTTCAGAACATAATGTTTGCGTGAACTCTATGATCGCCTAAAAGTAATAAATATTATGAGATAGTTTTAGCTGAGAGTGTTTCCGTATCGTAATTATCATATATTGGGAATTAAAAGTGTATTATGCGAACCTTGGGCGATCATTATACATATATTTTATTCTAATATTTGATATTTACGGTATCGAAACACCAAAGGATAACCTTTAGCGATCATTATTCACACATTTTATTCTAATATTTCATATTTATGGTACGAAAACGAAAAAGGGTAACCTTTGGCGATCATAATACAGACTTTTTATTCTAATATTTGATATTTGCGGTACGAAAACATAAACGGGTAATAATCTCGTTGCCATATTTTGCCATCCTTACAATAATCGATGTTTTAGTTGTAAATTCTCTCAATGAGGGGTGGTCGGGTAGCCTTGTAGTTAAAGCGTTCGCTCGTCACGCCGAAGACCCGGGTTCGATTCCCGACATGGGTACAATATGTGAAGCCCATTTCTGGTGTCCCCCGCCGTGATATTGCTTGAATATTGCGGCGTAAAACCTCACTCACTCACTCACTCACTCACTCACTCACTCACTCACTCACTCACTCACTCACTCACTCACTCACTCACTCACTCACTCACTCACTCACTCACTCACTCACTCACTCACTCACTCACTCACTCACTCACTCACTCACCCACCCACCCACTCACTCACTCACTCACTCAATGAAGTAACTTTAGAATCCGTGTACGAACACAGTGATTCTGTGAACCGCTCCCGGTATCATATAGTACCAAATGTTGGGTTATCGCAACAGTAGCACTATCCATTATGTGAATAATTTCATAATAATTGGACATACATCTGAAGTTCTGATTGAAAGAATGACATTGTATATCTTTATGTTATCAAAAAAGGTGTGCAATTGTTTGTTTGTTTGTTTGTTTGTTGTGTTGCGTCACACTTATCAATCATCCAGCTGTATTGCAGCGACCTATAATTTATCGAGTAGGGGCCAGACAACCCCGCGATTTATATAATGAACAACGTCATGCGCAATTAGCCAGGTCCGCGAGCCTGACTACCCAAACCACTCTGTCGCCCCTTACAACTAGCTTAATTAAGTTGCTAGGGATCTATTTTGACCCCGAATCAGTAAAACGTCAAGCTGTGTATTAAACATGTAGTTCATTCCACTGCTGAGCTGCCGCACTCAGCAATATTCCAGCTATATGACGGCGGTCTGTAAATAATCGAGGCTGGACCAGACAATCCAGTGAATAATATCATGAGCATCGATCCACGCAATTGGGATCGATGACATGCATCAACCAAGTCAGCGAGCCTGACCACCCGATCCCGTTAGTCGCCTTTTACGAAAAGCATAGTCGCCTTTTACGGCAAGCATGGGTTACTGAAGACCTATTCTACCCCGGATCTTCACGGGTCCCGCCTCTTGCGACCAACATAGGTCGCTGGGGAACCCAACAAGGAAACACATCGTCGTACGATGTCCACAAAACCATATTCCGAGAAATAGTATGTATTTATGGACATCAAAAGACGTATACGACATTCATGTTCACATCGAATACACAAATACAAGATTCACAGAAATATAATAAAATGGGTATACCATTTGAAGTATTAAGACATGCATGTTCACATCTAATCTACAAATAAAATATTCACAAACAGAATAAAATAGACACACCATTTGAAATATAAAGACATGTATGTTCTCATCAAATACACACTAACATATTCAGAGAAATGGAAGAAAATAGGCATACTATTTGAAGAATTTAGACATGTATGTTCATGTATAATACACAAATACAATATCTAAAGAAAATGAACATAATAGGAATAAGATTTGAAGTATTAAGACGTGTATATTCATGTCTAATACATAATAAGATATTCGAAGGAAAAAAAAGTACATATACTTAACATGTAGAGTATTAAGAGATGCATGTTCAGATCTAATACAGACATGACGTTCAAACTCAAGCCATCTATCAGAGACAGTACAAAAATAGTCGTTATTAGCCGCATATCTCTGTAATTGGCTAAGCGCGTAAAGGGCAGTGTCATCCTAGCGTGTTATTGACATCTATTGGGCATTATCGCCCACTTGAGATCAAACAAATTAAGGAAATTGCTGTTTGACTGGCCGGTGTCAAGAAAATATGCGAAATTAAAAGCTCTTTGAGCGTATTAATACGTTATGAGATGGCTTGATCAAGGCGCAATGTTAAATCAAGGGTAAAGATCCGCGACTGCGGTGGTTGCTGAGCAACGTATTTTTGTGAGGAATTTGATGCAGTGTAGTGTGAATATTTCACTGCGAACATTTACTGATGCTGGGTCGCAGACCTCCAATGACAATAATGAATCATTCCAGCCGAGACAAGATATCGTCCAGTTAAATATAATAAAACCATTCATTTATGAAAAAATATGTTTATCATTACTCTTGTGAGCTGCGTTTTTTCCAGAAAATTCTGTTAAACTCTTTATGGAAATTATTAGAAAAAATCATTTATTTTTTATGAATGAACAGCTATGCTAATCCGATTCGAAAATATGAAACAAAAAAGAGCTACAATGTTCCTTAAATGAGAATACAGCGTATGCGTGTCGACATTCTTGTCAAAGTTTTTTTTACATCAAGAATTATTACAAATGTTAACAAATGTTATGTATTTTTTATTTAAATAATTGGTATCTGCTGTGAACCTATTCATAAGATCGTGATATGTTACAAAGTGTAGTTATACATATTTAGATCCAATATGTAAATCTGTGTGACTATTTTTCTGAAATTTGTGTATATATGTGAAAGCATTTTAGCAGCAATATGCCGGCAGCCTGTGAGTTATCGAGTCTGGACCAGACAATACAGTGACTTATAATGTGAACAACGATCACCAACCACGTCACCAAGCCTGACCACACCATCCGTTTGGTCGCCTCTATACGACCAGCATTTAGACTGCTGGAGGTTCAACGTGGAATTCCCACAGGGATGCAAACGCAATGCGAAAGGCATACATTTCAATTCTTAAATTGAACACATTTGGTGAGGACATTTCTCTTATGATTATGCCTCAGTACAAATATTCACGACTTAATAAAGTAAGTATCGGCAGAAATATCTATTTTAAAATGGTTGGTGGTGAGATACAACGATAATTTTCAGACGTTACAGTTAACCTGACGTCAAATTGAATTATCCGTATGTTTGTATCTCGACTTTGCGAAATGGACGTGAACGAATGAGCATTAATCTTCCACCACAACGAAACTGACATCAAATTAATTTCTATCTTCTACAGTGACACAATAACCATGTCTTTAACTTTGACCACTTTTGCTTCAGTGACGTCACAACTGTGTCATCATGCACAA